ACAGGCAGGTGTGCCAGCCATACCCTATAACAGGTTGGGACTGAGGGATGCTGGGAGAACCTGGTAGCCAGATTCACTTTGATGAGTTAAACAGGCACCTTAGCTGTTTGTCCTGACTTTGAGACCAAGGGTAAGAAGGTGCATCCCTGTGTGTTCTTAGATCCCTGTGTGTTCTTCATCCCCAGGGCTGAGGATCAGGAGAGCTGATTCGGATGATACTGATGTAACAACAGGCTGGAGCGGAGAGCAGCAAGGCTGAGGAGAGCCTTAATGTCTTCCTAGGTGCAAACACCCCCTACCTACCACAGACCAACTTACAACCTTCCATGTGACCACAGTGCTTTCACAGGAATACCGCAGAAGTCATCCACACCTTGATCATGTCTTGACTCTTCCGTGCACTGGTGCTACATGGCCAGATCTTCTTTCTTGATGCTGGAGGGAGACCCCAGCTCAGATCCTAGCCATGAGACCATGAGGGTGAACCATCTAGACACCACATGGGGTAATATCTGCAGCACCCTGGATGGCTGTATTGTCCCCTTCGTCACACTTTTATAAGCGATGAAAGCCAGCTCAAGAGGTCACACAATATACATAAGGTCGCGATACTGGGAGGTGGTGTTTCTGAAGCCATACTCCACTCTCCCCATTTGGGCTGAAATGCTCAGAGCAAGCCAAGAGCAAGGCCAAGGAAGACCTTGGGCTGGACCAAAATGTGAATTTCAAGATCAGAACAGCATAGAATATTTGTTTTAGAAGTAAATAATCTTGTATTTCACACTACATACACACTCAGAAGGGACAGGGGTAAAAACTGAAGAAATCTGGTGAAATCTGCTGTAATCCCAGCACTGGATAGGTAGAGGAAGGAGGATTGGGACCCCCAGGCCAATGCTGGGGGCTGGAGAGATGGCTCAGAGGTTAAGAGCACTGGGTGCTCTTTTCAGAGGACCCTGGTTCAATTCCCAGCACCCACATAGCAGTTCACAGCTGCCTGTAACTTCAGTTCCAAGGGATCGGATATCCTCACACAGACATACACGCAGGTAAAACACCAATGCACATAAAAAATAAAGAATCAAAGCCAGTGCTTGGTTTATCAAAAAAAGAAAAAAATGGTTAAACAAAATGTGGAAAGGCCACATAATGGAATAGTATTCAATCTTCAAAAATGAAAGACATTCTGAAGGCAAAAGAAAAGCATGTTATGGGCTCCCTACTATATTACCCAGCCTACCACCCGTGGTGGTACACTTAATAAACGTACTTTCTTCCAACAAAATAAAATTACTGAGGCAATTCTGACACATTACAACATGGAAGACACTTAAAGACATTACACACAGTGGCATAAACCAGGCAACAAGGGCAGCTGTTGGTTGGTTCCGGTGATCTGAAGTCTCTAGACTAGTCAAAGTCAAAGATTCAGGAAGAATGATGGCCGCCAGCAGCAAGAGGAGACAGACATTAGGAGCTCCAGTTTAGAGGGGAGTTTCCCAAAGGAGGTGAGGGAAGTTGAGCAAGGATTCTTACGCTCACAAGACGGCCAGAGCAAGCCTGGTGACCTGAGCTTCATCCCCAGGGCTGAGGATCAGGAGAGCTGACTCCCTGGAGTCTTCTCTGGGCTCCACTCAGGCACTTTAGCATGTGCATGCCTCACGATAACAGATCCCTCCAGGGGACAGCTTGTCCTTTCAGGGTCTAAGCAGACCACCACCCCCCATGGGTTTTACCTGTCCTAAACAACCTGTCTACAATGTAAGTCATCATTTATTTTTTTTCTACTGTGAAAGTTAATAATGAGAAGACATATTATGTGAAAAAAAACATTTTAATATCCCTTTATCTTTATTTCACATGTTTGAGGGTTTTGCCTCCATGTTTGTGTGCTCACTGGACGAATAGGCCAGAAGAGGGCGCTGGATTCCCCAGCACCAGAATTAGGAGTGGTTGTGAGTCACATGTCGGTGCTGGGCCTGAACTCAGTTCCTCTGCAAGAGCTGCCAGCACTCTTAACCACTGAGCTCTCTCCAGCGTCTTAAGTAACAGGTATGGCATTGTATACAAATAAATAAAAAAAATTAAAAAATAAATGAAATAAACCTTTACGTTAAATCAGGGAGTTGGGGCATTAACTTGTTACTGCAGCATGACCTGACCCACCCTGACTAACACATGAGACAGGAAAAACATTTTCACAGCTTCACAAACACGAGTCACAGAACAACACAATCCTCTGAGAAACTTAAAAAAAAAAAAACAAAAAACTCCACATGCTTAGAAAGGCAAGATGGTACACACCTGCATTCTTAGACCCAGGAGCTAAGGCCTGAGGATTGCTTGACTTTGAATATAGTGATATTTCATTTGTATTTTAATAAATAAAGCTTTCCTGAAGATCTGAGAGTAAAACAGCTGCACTTATCAGTTACACAGACCAGGCAGTGGTGACTCACACCTTTAATCCCAGTAGCCACATTAGTTTGCCATAGAAACCAGACAGTAGCGGTGCATGCCTTTAATCCCAATACTAGAGAGGAATATAAAACAGGAGGAGACAGCTCTCAGACACAGTCTCATTCTGAGATTCCTGGAGGCAGGATCGTCATTTTGGACTGAGGTAGAAGTAAGAGCCAATGGCTGGCTGCATTGCTTTTCTGGTCTTCAGGTTGAACCCCAATTTCTGTCTCTGGGTTTTTATTAATTGTGCTACATTTGAAGCCATTCAGGCTGTCTTGATCTCAAAATACACACACAGACACACACATGCCTCTGAATGGTTCAAGTTCCCATTTGCTTAGTTTTGTTCTATAAATCTGGCATAAAAAAAAAAAAGGTTTCTTACAAGTACGGGCGTTTGGCCTGCAAGTACATCCGTGTTCCACGTGCATGCCTGATGCCTGCAAAGGCCAGAAGTCATCGGGTTTCCTAGAACTGACGTTTCAGAAAGTTTTAAGACACCATGTGGGTGCTGGGAATTGAACCTGGGACCTCCCATACTAACTGCTGAGCCATTTCCCCAGACTGAAACTGGAACTAAAAAAAAAAAAAAAAAAAAAAAAAAAAAAGATTACGTGTGTGTGCTCACATGTGCAAAAGTATCTACAGAGGCTAGAGAGGGGTGTTGGGTCTCCTGCAGCTGGAGTCACAGGAACCAGAGTGCCATCCAATGCCAGTCCTCTGATAGAGCAGTGTGTTAGTTACTGTTTCACTGGTTCGGTAAAACACCACGACCAAGACAACTTACAGAGGAAGGGTTTATTTGGGCTTATGGTTAGAGTTCATAGTGACGGAGATAGTACGGTAACATGACAGTTGGAGATAGAAGCTGAGAGCTGAAGGCTTGTATCTAGAACCACGAACAGGACACACGGAGAACACACTCAGAACAGTGAGTCTTTAAACTCCCGAGCCCACCTCCAGTGAGATACTTCCTCCAACAAAGCCACACCCCCTAAGCCTATGGAAATCCGACCACCAGTACAGAGCAAACATTCACATGCCAGAGAATCATCTCATTCAAAAACAAATACTATGTGCTTTTTTTTTTTAAATATTTATTCATTTATTATGCATTCAATATCTGCCTACATGTGTGCCTGCAGGCCAGAGAGGGCACCAGATCTCATTACAGATGGTTGTCAGCCACCATATGGTTGCTGGGAATTGAACTCAAGACCTTTAGAAGAGCAGGCAATGCTCTTAACCACTGAGCCATCTCTCCAGCCCCCATACTATGTGCTTTCAAGTGGAAACCATCACTCAGTTCCAAAGCTGAAAATTTTTATTTTAAAGATTTTATTTATTCTGTATACAGTGTTCTGTCTGCACATATGCCTGAGCACCAGAAGAGGGCACCACATCTTATTATAGATGGCTGTGTGCCACCACGTGGTTGTTGGGAATTGAACTCAGGATCTATTGACCTCTGAGCTAACTCTCCAGCCCACAAGGCTGAAATGTAATATTACACAACCCAAAGCACACAAGGGATGGGAGAAACAGGATCCCATTCCCTAACACCTCCCAACTCTATTCTGATGTGCTGCCTGATAAACTATCAGTTTCTCAATTTATCCTTCCTAGGTCGTTTCTAGAACTGGGCCCAGAAAAGGGCATGGAGATGCCAGGGACCTCAAGAGAGCCCTTCTGCTCAGATCAAGGACAGAGCTCATGTATTCGATATGAGACACATTTTTAGTGAGTCTGTGTGTGTGTGTGTGAATGTGTGTGTGTGTGTATGTATGTGTGTGTGTATGTGTGTGTGTGTGTGTATGTGTGTGTGTATGCGTGTGTGTGTGTGTGTGTGTGTGTGTGTGGATGCAGGTGTACACATGCCATGGTGTGCATAAAAAAGTCAGAAGACCACACTGGGTGTTATCTATACCTTCCATCGTGAGGTAGGGAGTTTCTTTGTTGCTTTTCCAATGTGTATGCCAGGCTAGCTGGCCCATGAGCCTCAGGAATTCCTCTCTCTTCACCTCTCATCCCCCCATAGGATTACAGACACTCAGTACATATCTGACTTTCACATGGGTCCTGGGGATTTGAACTCAGGTCCTCAAATTTATATAACAAGAATTCTTACCCACTGAGCCATCTCCCCAGGCCTGAGGTACTGTAACACTGACCTTGGTTCTAGCCTGCCTTGGGGAACCACCCCATTTATCTGGTAGGCGGCCTCTATCAAAAGCTAGAAGCCCGAGTAGGGCCCAGTGGCACATGCCTATAATCCTAATACTCAGGAGTTGGAGGTAGGAGGATTGGAGCCGTTCAAGGTAATCCTTGGATTGTGAGTTCCAGGCCAGCCTAGGCAATGTGAGACTCTATGGCAAAAAATATACAAAAAAGAAGCCACACTCCAAGTAATGGGTGCTCACTGGGTGCTCGCCTCCAGGTAGCCAAAGTCTCCCTTAGGCAAAGTGAAGCCAGTTGTGACCAAGACACCTGGACATCAAGGGGACCAGCAGGAAAGACAGCTATGTGGGGACGGGAAGTATAGGGCCCTGAGTTTTATTTGCATACTACCGACAGAGTCTCCGCCCCCTCCACCCTTGAGTTCCTACCCCAGGAGGAGGGAGGATGGGCCAGCACCAGGCCTGGACCCTCCCATCTCAACAGCACAACCACTTCCGGCTTGTCAGGTTTCAGCCTCATTGTAGGGGCGTCCATCCATCTCTCAGGTGCTGCCTCCTCAGGGGAGGTTGATGGCACTGGTAGAATACTGTTCCCTTCCAGTGGTCAGTCTGCAGGGCTTCTAGTGGGCGGGACGGAGCTGGGAAACCTGAGGCTCTGACCAGACTGGTGGTGGGACCTGCACTGGCAAGGCCTGGAAGGTGAACGGGGAGGTGTTAGCAGGGGTCACCGGGGATAGGTCGGGCCCAGGCTTAGCCTCAATTCCTCCTGCACCTTGGAGTGAGGGCCACCTTCCTGAGTAGACTCGGGCAGGTGGGAAAGAGTGCCAAAGTTGAGGGGGGCAAAGTTTTCAGGGTCCGAGCCCCCACCTTGATAGGATCTGTACTACCTGGACCCCCCTCACCCCAGGTCGGGACACACCCTGGACCCTACCAGGCGGGATGGGCTGGTGGCTGACAGATGTCGGCCCTGCGCTCCACAGGAGACAGAGGACCAGAGGTCAAGACTCTTGGGGACACAGCTTTTCTCAGGCTTTGGAGGGAGGATATCCCAGCCCAGCAGACAGTGCTGTGGAGAGAAAAGGTTAAAGGCATCTGCCGTCCACAACCATGAGAAAGACCCCTGAGGACCCAGGTATATTTACCCATTGGTTACCAGTCCCTATTGACCTGGCCACTGTCCACCCCAATCCTCCCCAAGATGGACAGGTGGATGTGGGTATTAATGGAGTCCTTTCCACACTGGCCCTGAACATCTAAGCTGCATGACTTCACTAAACCATCCTCATGACCCCAACATCAAAGATGTTCCCTTTCTACCAGTTTGTAGGGGAGCCAAAGGGTCTTTCCCCTCTTCTCTTCCCCCAATCACAGCTACCCTGTCCTTCGCCCAGTGTGAGCAGGACGCCCTTTGACTTCCATCCTGACTAGGAAATGGGATATATGATAGAAACACAAAGGTCTGGGCTCAAACCCATCTCCCCAGCCAGCTCCACTCTGCCTCTGTGACCTACGTGGGGGTGGGGTAAGACAGTGAATAGTGCCCCTGTAGACACCCATCTTAGACACCATGTGGGGGACAGGTGACACACCAGCCCAGGTGAAGCCAGAGACCCGCTACCATGCAAGAGCCTTGGAGCAAGCTCTCTTCAGGGCTAGTTCAGGATCCTGCCCACATATGCCCGCCTCTAGGATCTTCGGGCAGGCGGCTTACCCGAGGCAGAGCCAGGGTGTCAGAGGCATCAAAGCTTTTCCGTCTATGAATTCGGTAGCGGTGTGGAGGGTCCAGGATGGACAAGGGGATGCTCACCCTGTGCAAGAGGCACAGCATCAAGATCAGCAGAAGCCACGTTCGGTACCCTACCCTGGTTTGGTACCCTACTGTCCAGTGGGACCTCCAGGGAATTTCAGTGCTCTCAACACTCACCTGACTTGCGCAGGCTCCACCAGACTCTCAGGTCCCTGTTGGTCCCGGGGTATCCCACATAGGCGGCAAGGGGTACCTGGGTCCACTGGCACAGGGAACAGGCGCCGGTTGACACGGTAACAGTACACACCTGCGAGACCCATGATAAACCACAATTGCCCCTAAGCCGGGGAATTTGGCGAGGGCCTCTGGCTGTTCCTCGACACACAAACCATACCATCCACTGAGGAGTCGTTCTATGCCACTTTTTCCCCAGCCCCTTTCCTCCCGAAGTCTTGGGTCCACACTCAGGGGACTCGAGAGCTGTACCCTGCTATCTGAAAGCTGCCGGAGGGAGGCGGTTACAAAGGGCAGGACCTAAGCCAGTCAAAGTCCCAGGCCAGAATGGATCCCACACTGCTCAGACACCAGGCTGCCCTCCCCGAGTGGCCAGCTCAGAGTACCCCGGTGGAAGTGCTCACTCACACTGGTGGCTCTCTTCCACACCACTGCTCTCCTGCAGGCCTGGGAACACAGCCCTGGCGGGGAGAAGAGAAGATGAGTGACCAAGTCCCCTAACTACCCTCCACCCTCCACCCTCGTCACACACCCCCGCTTACTCAGGGGAGTCGCAGACACAATCCTCTCTGTTGGCTTCTCGGAACCTCTGAAGCATGGAGAAGAAGGCCTCAGGTTCGCTGGTGACCGGAGAACTAGTGTCCAGGGACCCTGGGGTGGACAAGGCACCGGTGAGGGAGGCAGGGCTAATGGGCTGGGGCCCCACCTCGCCCCTAGGACTCTCCACTCACTGTGACGGCCAGCTCTGTTTGAGCACCCGTCTGCCCTGACATAGTCAGCCACCCACAGACAACTCTCTCACAGAGTCCTTAACAGAAGCCACACACCTATTTTAGTCTAGAGACAGGAACTGTGGAGCCCTGGCTGGCCTGGAACTTCATATATAGACCAGGCTGGTCTTGAACTCAGAGAGTGGACTGCCTCCGCCTCTTGAGTGTTAGGATTAAAAATGTACTCCTCCATGTCCTGCATACTGTTACTTTAGAGACAAGATCTCATGTAGCCCAGGCTGGCCTTCAACTCAACACTTTTGCCTCCACCTCCCAGTGCAGAGATTACAGGCATGCACCTGGCTGACATTTTTTTCCTTTTTTAAGATTTATTTATTATGTATACAGTGTTCTGCCTGCATGTTTGTCTGCACAACAGAGGAAGGCACCAGATCCCATTATAGTAGGTTGTGAGCCACCATGTGGTTGCTGGGAATTGAACTCAGGACCTCTGGAAGAGCAGAGGTCTTCTTAACCTCTGAACCATCTCTCCAGCCCCTGCTTACATTCTTATTACATTCTTATTAGCTGGGAAGAACAGGAAGCTAGACAAGGTTCCCACTCTGAGGAGGTGATATTCTAAAGGGACAAAGGACTAATTAGTCACCAAGGAACTCAGAGAAGTGATAATGAATGTTGCCGGGAATTTGGAGGCCAGAGCCAGGCGGTTGAGCACCACAGGACAGGAGGCTGCAAGCGAGGTCTGAGAAGGTGACCAGAGCAGAGGCCAAGGAGGTCACACGGGCCAATCAAAAGGATAGCCCAGTCAGTGAAGAACACAGGTGCTTGGCGTGTGTGAGGAACTCAGGAGGGACAGGACAATGGAGGGAGAGGAGGGAGGGGTAAAGACGGGAGTCTGAGATGCTTTGGGAACAAGGAGCATCAAAATCCAGTCAGCCATGTTTTTATAGGACACAGGAAAGCAGGGGCCATTAAAAGGAGGCCGTGGGTTCGAGAAACGTCCTAAGGAAGAGACTGTATTAATGGTCAGGACATGAAACATGTAATGGGAGGCAGGTTGAGGCTGGGCCCGAGGTCACAGTCTGACTTCTTAGGTTCACCGAGCTGCCACTTACAGAGATGGGAGGGAGAACCGCTGCCTTCATCCTCAGGTGGCAGAGACCGAGGGATCTCTGTGAGTTCAAGGACAACCTGTTCTATATAGATAGCTAGTTCCAGGACTACCAGGACTATGTAGAGACCCTATCTTCAAAAAAAAAAAGTGTGTGTGTGTGTGTGTGTGTGTGTGTATGCGTGTATGTGTGTATGTATGTGTGTACTTAAGATAGGGCTGGAGAGATGGTTCGACAGTGAAGAGCACTGGCTGTGCCAGGCGGTGGTGGCGCACTACTTTGATCCCAGGTCACCCTGGTCCACAGAGTTTTAGGACAGCCAAGACTACACAGAGAAACGCTGTCTTGGAAAACAAACAAAATACAGCAAACAAATGAGCACTGGCTGCTCTTGCAGGGATTCAGTTCCCACCTCCCACACTGTGGCTCACAACCATCTATAGCTCCAATTCCAGGTTCTGATGTCCGCTTCTGGCCTCTACAGGTACCAGGCATGCACATGATACACATACATACATACATACAGGCAAACACACACACAAATTAATAGTTAAAATTAAAAACAAAAAGCTAAAATGGCAAAATTTATGTGGCATGCATTTTAGCGCTCAGCTGACATCAATGAGGCGGAAGAGGCTGGAGGGGGGACAGGAGCCCCGAGTGCCAGGAGAGGAGCAGTAGAGAGATGTTTCCACTAGGGTTGGGCAGGGGGCTGACCTCTATAAATGCTCAAACATCGAGCAGCCCTGATTCACTCATTCATTCAGCTCATGGGTATCCAGACTACGATTAGCCCAACCCCGCCCCTCACCTGCAATCCAATCATAGCCCAGGTATGGCCGAAAGCGCCAGCTGCTCTCAGGCATTGCAGACTCTTGGGAGAAGGTCACTTTGGGCTGAAGAAGTAGACAAGAAGGGCACGGGCTAGATCGGTAGGCCTGGCCCAGAGGAGGCCCTGTTTGGGGAACAATGCACTGGGTCTTGACTTAGACTCCAGGTTGGCGCCAACCTCAGCTGGGGAGCTCAGAAACGAGAAGGTAAGTTTGGTCCCACTTTGGGTGTGGCTTTGAACAAGCCTGGACTCCAAGCCTCAGTCCTCCCACCTGTCCAATGGGGTTGCCTCCTTCTTCCAAAAGGGCAAAGAAGTACTGGCAATAACTGGACACACCTTACTGGGTCTCCTAGAGGCCTCACCCCCTACCGGGGAGGCTTGTCCAGGAACAATCTGTCAGACAGGAAGGGAAACCGAGCCTCAAAGCTCCCCAAGATTTCCACGCACTCCTGAGTTACCTTAGATGGCTTGCTTGGTCGTGACAGCATGGACTGTGGAACCTGTGTCTTGCGAGGTCCCAGACCTTTTGGTGGCCCCTTCAGACCTTCAGTGGCTAGCAAGGGTACTGAGGGGGGCCGCCGTTTATCCTGGGGCTCCCGGTGTTGGCATGTGGCAGATGGTAAAGAGTCCACCCTGTAGCTGTCCTTGCCATGCCAGGGCATATCAGATGTGCCTCCTCGATGACTGTCCAGTGGGTCCCACTCCTGTCTTTTGTCCTGCGAGCTTGGGGCCACCGAGGAGCTGAAGGAACTCTCTTGGGATTGTGGCATCTCTAAGTTGCCGCTGCTGCTATAGTCCAGGTTTGACTGCAAGAAACAGGTCAGGTTACCCAAGTAGCAGTCTGGCCAGTGCCCAGCCACTCAGCTTCACTCTGGACTCATAAGGCTTCATTCTGCTGTGGCCTCTGGGTGTCCCAGCCCAGTCCCTTCCTCCCAAGGCCTCAGTTTTGCAACATCAGTGAAATGGGTGCATTGGATAAGGCTGACCCCGGAAGCTTGGGCATAGTCACAGGGGGTAGGCAGTCTTTTCCTCACCACCTGGGCATTACCAAGGGGATCACCCACCTCTGACGCTGCTCTGGCCACTGACCGACACATGGCATCGTGCCCAGCCCACAGCTGCTTCAGCAGCTCCAGGCTGAGCAGCCGAAGCTGAATGGAGTCTTTAGTCTCTGCCATCTGGGACATGGGTCTCAGTTTTTCACAGCTTGTCACTGGCTCTGGGCTGGACGATACTCACAGGAGGGGCTCAGGCTAGGTTCTACCTGAAGTCAAAGCACCAATGACAAAAGATGAGGAAGGGAACCTGCCACACAGGCCTGAATTCAAACCATCACTAGGACTCTTCCTTACTCTGCAGCCTCACCCTGGTTACTTAATCTCTCTGTGCCTCTTGTCCTAACCTGATAAACATGGCAGCATAGAGTTACCCTACCATGCCGTCACTAGGGCTACACAGGACAGTGCATGTTAAATGCTCAGTACAGTACTCAGTAAATGTCCAGCAGTACTAAACCAGCCAGAATGACTGGCAGGTCTCCAGCATTCTTAATTCCCACCTGCTTTGCGTGCCAACTGTGCTATTTCTTCCCCCCAAAGACCACATCTCAGAGTGCTATGAAAGGCTCTTTTTGAACGATTATGGACAACAGGAAAATGCTCGCCTGCTAAGAGACTAAAACTCCCATTGGGCCTTCCTTAGTTATCTGACCCCTGGGCCTGAGAGATGGCTCAGTGGGTAAGGGTTGCTTATGGCCAAGCTTGACAACCTGGGTTCAGTTTTCAGGGTGTACACGGTGGAAGGAGAGAGCTGACTCCATGAGTTGGCTTCTTACCTCCATATATGTATCATGGCATGCGCCTGCCCATATAAACAAAAAAAAAATGGTTTTAAAATTAATCTCATTCCTAGCCGGGCAGTTGTGGCGCACGCCTTTAATCCCAGCACTCGGGAGGCAGGGGCAGGCGGATCTCTGTGAGTTCGAGGCTGGCCTGGGCTACAAGAGCGAGTTCTAGGACAGGCTCCAAAGCCACAGAGAAACCCTGTCTCAAAAAAACAAACAAACAAAAAATTAACTCATTCCTTTATCATACAGAAAGAGACTAGTACAGAGTGCTAATTCAAAGCTTAAGAACTTATGATATCAGGGGCTGGCACTGAGCCCAGGACCTGCAGCATTAAGCTTGTTCTCTGACACAAAGCTGCCCCCAGTCATTTTTCTCTTTTTGCTCGTGTACCCCAAGGTCACTTAGCTAGTGTCAAAGCAGGGTTTGAACTAACCTGTAGGTTCCGGGTTGTTGTGTAGCAGCTACTCCCCCTAACATCCATGCATCTCCCTCTTGGTGGGAGGTGAGAGTCTCCTCAGAAAGTTGCAAGATTTTAAGGTTGCTTTAAACAGTGGCTAGGGACAGATACCCGGACTGGAGCCACCTGCAAGCTGTACGGGGTGAATCAGAACCCACGATGGGTGTGTTTGTCAGCGGTGCAGCTGCCTGTCTTTGGGTCCATAAGTTCCCGAAGTGACCCCAATACACTCATTGGTTCACCCATGAGTGAACCAGCTACACCTGGATGGAATCATTTCTTTGCTCTCTTGGCTGTGTTCTGGAGCAAACAGACCTCTGTTGACTCGCGACTAAGGGTCTGCGCTTGGGGAAGCCTGGCCCTGACAGGGTTGGTAGGTTCCTGGGAAACCTCCCCCCTTCTCCAGCCAGCTTTGGTCCTTCAGAGGTCCAGCTCAGGAACACCTCCTTTGCTTCTGGAAGGGATGTCTGCGATGTAGGGATGGGCTTCCCACTTTTAGAACCACAGGTCCAGACTCCTTCACCAGCACCAGAACTTTTACTCCGGGTTGGGTCAGAATCCCTGCTCTGTCCCAGCCCTGCCGCCCCCACACACTCCTGGGGACTCGGGTCTCCAAGCAGTCTGCAGTGGGGAGCAGAGCAGACCCCAGCCTCTCGCTCCCGCGCACCCAGGCAGTGTGCACATCGGACCTGGAAAAGGCGCTTGCCCCTTCTCTACCTGGTCTGGCCGGGTGTAGGCACATCTCTCTGGTCCCAAGATCAGGGGCCGCTAAGGACAAAAGTACTCGGACGCCCTCCACGGGGAAGCCGACGTCCCTAGCAGCCCGGGGCTCCGCCTCCTCTGGGTGGGGCCTCCGATGGTTGCCCTAATTGGGTAAAGCTGGGGCGGGGCCTCCGCCAGCTGTTCTCATTGGCCAATTGGTGGGGCAGACGTCAGACAAACGTTAGTTCGCATCCGGAAGCGGCAGTTTCAATTTGGGGGTGGGGCTAAATGCCCCTCATTGCTGATTTGTTGGCTGAAAATGTCAAGTCTGCCAACTTTAATTTTACTGAATGGAAATTACCGGAACTACAGGTTCCGATTGGTCAGTGTGGCCCGGCTACGTGATTTCCGGATGATTGTGGAGCTGTAACTGACTGCGGATGGGCGGGACGAGTGGCGAGGGCAACGCATTCCATCTTTCAAGCTTTTTTTTTTTTTTTTTTTTTTTCTCTCAAGAGAAAGTCTTTTGAAGCCTAGGCTTGCTTCGGACTAAGGGCTCCTCTCGGTTGGTGGGGGAGGGTGGATTTACAGGCGTGCTCTATTAGGCCTGCTTTCTTAAACACTTCAAGTCTCTGTGAGGTGCCTACTTTGTGTCTGAGGCCCTGGAAGGCAAAGATTTCAGAGTAGGGACAGAGGGAGAGAAGTCACTGGCAAAATTATAATATAGATACCAAAAATCTGGTCTTGTAAAATATGACCCAAAACTCCCAGAACTCGGGAGGCAGAGGCAGGCGGATCTCTGAGTTTGCGGTGAGGCAAGTTCCAGGACAGCCAGAGATACCCAGAGAAACCCTATCTCAAAAGAAAAGAAAGAAAGACTTAAGACAAAATTTAATGTAGCTCAGACTGGCCTCGAACTCGCTATGTCATGAGGATGGTCTTAGGTTGACTCCTTTCTACTTCTTGAGCCTCTACCTCCTCTAATACTGGAATTACAGCCTATTCCAGCATACAGAGTGTGGGACTGAACCCAGAGCTCTACGTACGGAAGTGTGCCTTACTGTTTTTAATAGCACTGTGTTTTAAACGCCCCTGGCTGTTAGCCATTCTCCTTTCTCCCTGTCACAGAGTCAGAAGGCCAGCCTGCCCCAGGAAAAGGTCTAGACTGGAGGGCACTTGAAATAAGCATCCTGGAGGCTGGTAGTGGTGGCACACATGCCACCTTTAATCCCAGCACTTGGGAGGCAGAGGCAGGTGAATCTCTGTGAGTTCCAGGACAGGACATGCTCCAAAGCTACATAGAGAAACTCTGCCTCGAAAAACCTAAATAAATAAATAAATAGAAAAAGAAAAAAAAGGAAGCATCCTGGAATTTAGCGTAAGGGGCCTGCTTTGCTCTCACTGTCTTCATTCAATAGCACAATTTACTGGTATTGCAAGTGCCTGACAATTCTGTGCTAGCTCTTGGCGGGGAGAGAGGGTGCATGTAGCAGAGATAATGTGCCCTGCAAGAGCATTGCAACCAACACGATGCCATGGCTGTGCTGGTGCACACCTTCAATCCCAGCACTCAGCAGGCAAGGACTCAAGACCAGCCCGGTCTACATAATGAGCTCCGGGGCTGCATAGTGAGATCCTGTCTCAAAACAAAGACAGAATTTGTCATGTTAAAGGCCAACCTGGTCTACAGAGAGAGTTCCAGGACAGCCAGGGCTACACAGAGAGACCCTGTCTTGAAAAATAAAAAAATAAAATAAAAAAGGTTTTCTCTTTTGACCAGGTAGGATCTGGGGTTCAAACGCAGCTCATTAGGCTTGGAGGCAAATGCCTTCACCTGCTGAGCTATCTCTAGCCCCTACATCCAGAATTTTTAAGCGTTTCGACACTTAAAACTGATAAAACAACAGATATTTCATTAAAAAAAAAAAAGATGAACTCGTAAAAAGGAAGGGGAAAGGAGAGAAAAATAAAGCTCTGAAGGGTAAGTTTGGAGTCCCCTAGGCTGGAGAAACCCGGGTCACTCTCTGGGGATCCATGGACAGAGGACTGACAGGTGGGGCAGTGGCTGGTCTTACGGAGAGCCGCCCTCGATGTGAGCGGTACCTTTTCAACTGGCGACCAAGACAAGTCAAAGGGGAAAACTGCTTTGCCACCGTTGCCTGCCTTCTCCGATCTCTTTGACCTTTCAATGTGGACGTCACACCGACAATTCCCTAGGGTGCTTTTAGAACACACACACACCTTCTCTGTGTACAGAACCTAACACTGGGAGCCACGGCTGCTCAGTTGCATGACATAGCAGAAACAGAGTTAGGTAGAAATTAAGCAGTAGCCAAGCGCTGATGGTTTGACTCCTACGGCCCCTACAGCAGTGGCCTCCACCTGTGAATAGCAAGACACCAACTGATTAAGGAGTTTATATCAGAAGGATTCCCTGCATGCCTGGGGACCTAGAAGACAGAAATGATTTTTGCTTTCTCACTTTCTCTCTCTCTGTTTCTCTCTCTTCCTTTTAACCTAAATTCTAGACCAGGGATGGGTTACCTTCCTGGGAGGTCCCTGAAGCCCCACAAACTATAAAGATGATTGCCACTGGTCAGTTGCATGCTGGAACTAGATTGTAAGATCCTATTACTGAAGACATCACATGCTTTGCACTAGGACATAAAAGAGTCAAGCTGAGACTAAGCTGAAAACCCCTCCCTGCTGGCTACTGTGGGAAGGAAAATTGCCCATACCTCTACTCAGCCATGGACCCTACGTGTTCACGTCATCAGCACTGCAGGCAGCCAGCCGTGCCTGCTTGTGTAACTGTGGCCTGAGAGGTGACTCTGCAACCAGCTGTCTTCCAATTGGATTTAAGGCCTGCTCCATGGGGGAGGGACCGATATTTGGCACTGGAAGCCAGCAATGAAAAACAACACAAATCAACTAGCCAACCCTGTGGCTGGGAAGATCACAGATCCCAGCAGGGAAGTACTGCTCTTAAGTGGCATGATGTACCTATCCGATGCCTTCTTAATGTTCATACTTACACAGTAGATTATTGCTGCTGTCAGCCTTGCTGAGGGGAGCTTCCTTTTCGCTGCTGAGGAAACCAGTAACTGATCAAAATGCTGAGAATTCAGTGACTGTTGCTATGTTGTAGTGGCCCAATGCTCAGGCTTAAATGGAAGAACATCAGATATCTTATCACCCACTCCAGCGCTCAGGGAACATTGCAGAAGAGGGAGCCGAAGGAACGTAAGAGCTGGAAGGAGGGTAAAGGATTATGGAATTTGTATGACATGGCTGTTGCCATCTTGAAAGCAGAATCGCTGATTGCTTGTGTGGCACCTTTACAAGAGGTGGAGCCCACTAATATTCCCTCACGGAAGGGGAAGGCATGTGAGGCAGCTGAACTGCAGGGGACCGGGAGACTTCAGTGGCATAGCTTCCTACAAGATATTCATGTTCCTGTAAGCCCAGTTAAACTCACTGCTTCACCAAGCTGGACTCAAGAGGAATGGTCTCGCTGGTCCATCTGAGACCAGTGCTTTCTCCTGTCTGAAAAGACTTCCCGGAAAACGGCATGCTATTGTTATTGGCTTTTTCTAGAAAGTAAGCATGATGTAAGGACGTTGGATGTCAAGTTAGTAAGTAGTGGGCCTGTGATGATTGGAACCGGTTGTCACCTTGACTGAATAAGGGGACACCCAGGATTGGAGATGTTTTCGGAGAGGACTGACATGGAGGGCCCCACCCTCGTGGTGGGCAGCACCTTCCAAACTGCAGCCTAGATGGAAAACATTGTGCGAGAAACAGTACCAGGAAAAACTGTTCCGAGTGCTTCTGTTGTCACTGCTGCCACCACCTGCTTCCATGGTGGCTACGGATATCATCCTCTGGCTTTGTGGGCCTTTCAACATGGATCTGATACCAGACACTGTACAGGAAGCTTCCAGGCTATCAGGACTGGTTCAGACTGCTGCGCTTCCTTCCTTGGAGCAGCTACCAGATTCTCAGCCTCTCCAGCATACACATGATCACTTTGGGCCATCCAGCTCCATTGTATAAGCCAGGCTAATCAATCCCCTCTTATAACACATGTGCACATTCTGTTGCTTCTGTCCCTCTAGAGAACCCTAATACAAATGCTCAACGTAACACTATCACTGAGGCCTGCCAAACCTGCCATGCACACCCCTGTCCATCACGGGCACTTCTAGCACCAGCTCCCATCCGAGTGTGGCTTCTTCTCTTTGCCTGGGATCCACTCACGAGACACATATAGACTAAAATCACAAGATATCAACACATATACATTCAGCCAGGCAGTGGCGGTGCACACCTTTAATCCTAGCACTTGGGAGGCATAGGCAGGTGGATCTCTGTGAGTTTGAGGCCATCCTAGTCTACAGAGTGAATTCTAGGATAGCCTCCAAAGCTACAGAGAAACCCTGTCTCAAACAAACAAACAAACAAACAAACAAAAAAGGACTTGTTGGACTGCAGAAAGTCAATAATCCTAGCACTAGAGTGGCTGAGGCAGAATTTTAAGGTTGAGAAGAACTTGTGCTACACAGAGACCTTGTCTCAAAAATCTGGTGGGGCCTGGGAGATGGCGCAGCAGGCAAACCTCTTTAGCTGTGAAACACGCGGACTCTGGGCCCAATCAGTAGAAGCCATATAAAAGCCAGATGTGGCACACCTCTGAAACCCTAGCACCCTTATGGTAAGTAAGATTGGGGGAGGGGAGTAGGTGGAGACAGAAAGGCCTGTAAGCCCTCTGACCAGCCTTCATGTTTGGAAGCAAACAAGAGACATCCTGTCTCAAGGTGGGAGGGTAAGAACAGACTTGGAACGCTGTCCTGTGACCTCCTTATGCATGGTATGGCGCATCAATGTGTGGGCACGCATAGTTTCAAGAGAGGTGTGTGTGCTGTGGATGTAGATGGCAGAGTGCTTGTCTATAGTGTGCAGATCCCTGGGCTTGATCCCCAGCATGCACAAACAGAGCCTGGAAGAACACCTTTAATCCTAGCACTCAGAAGGCAGAGGCAGGAGGATCTCTGTGGGTTCAAGGGTGGCTTGTCTTCATAGTGAACTCCAGGCTAACAAGGCCACATAATGAGAAAGAAAAAAACAAAACAAAACAAAACAAAAGGGG